CATGGGAAATTTCTGGTTACTGCAGTTTTACTACAAATACTGTGGTAAACTGTGGTTACTGTAATAAAACCATGGTTAATTTTTGTAAAAGGCTGCCAGGCTGTTGTACCCCTAAAGGTGAAACTTTAGCGCATTTTTTTCTGACAGATTTATTAACAGCAATTACAGAACAGAACAGAATCCATTTGAACTTTTAACAACCAGTTTAAATAAATTTACTTGCACAAACTAGCCAATTTAAAATAAATATTGCATGTACACAAAAGTTTGGGGTCAGTAAGATTTTGTAATATTTTTTAAATAAGTCTCATGCTCACCAAGGCTGCACTTATTTGAACAAAAATATAGTAAAACAGCAATATTCTGAAATATAACCATTAAAATAACTATTTTCTATTTTAATATATTGTAAAATGTGATTTAAAATGCATCTGTGATCAAAGCTGAATTTTCAGCATCATTACTCCAGTCTTCAGTGTCACATGATAAAGTATTTTTTTATTGTGCCATTGTTTTTCTCAAAAAGTGCAAACGTGCAACATGAGGTAGGCCTGTATGAATTACATTAAATTTAATTAAATTTAATTTAATTAAATATTGTGTGTTTGAGTAGGCCAGTGGTTCCTTGATTTTCAAGCCCCAATCCCCCCCTTTTTTTTTTTTTGGAAAGTCTCTTATGCTCACCAAGGCTACATTATATTGTAAACTATTGTCAATTTAAATTATCTGTTTGAATGTTTTAACATATAGGTCTTATATATAGATATAGTATAGTCTTCAGTGTCACATGATCCTTCAGAAATCATTTTAATATAATTTGCTGCTCAAGAAGCATTTATTATTATTGCTGCTTTATATATGTGTGGAAACCGTCATGCATTTTTCAGAATTAATTTTATATATATAGTAAACAATTAGGGATGCACCGATACTGGTATCGGGCCCGATACTGGTCTCCTGTACTCGTACTCGTTAAAACCCTTTTGGTTTCTGTACCCAATATTGAAAAAATGTACAAATGCAATAAAAATATCGCATATCGGTATCGGCAAGTACCAAAAATAAAAGTATCGGTATCGGGCGAGTACTGGAAAAAGTGGTATCGGTGCATCCCTATAAACAATGTTATGTAATGTAATAATGTGGCAATGGTTTCTAGATCTACTTATGCTTCTGATACTTTTGGGAAACACAGCCCTATTTAAACAAGCACTCAGAGCCATGCGTCAGCAGCGAACGCTGTCTGTGATTGATTGGTTCTGTCTTTCAGCATTTGCGTGTGTTCCGATGAGCAGGAGAAATGGTTCTATCCAGCACAATTATTCGCTAATATAGTCTATTTTTCCACTTAGAAGCTTATTTTATGCACTGAATTTCTTGATAAATAAATAAAATTAATGGTTAAAAAAATGCACTTTAGAATCGATATTTTTATGTGAGGATCGATCCTTTCGATACAACATCAGTTTCGAAAGTATCGATACTTAAGGATCGATCTGCCCATCCCCACCGGAGGGACGAGACAAAAACATTAAAACCCATTATAAACGAGGCATTTGTTGCATCCAGTGGGGACATAATTACGGATTATTATGACTTGTACTGTCTTTTTACGCGTTGCATCGCGCCGCGTGAACATAAAACCATGTCTGCATTTGTGATCGGAGAAATGACAAACAACAAGCACTGCTGTACACTGCTCAAAACTCGCGTTTGAATCATCAGTGGCAAATTCTTTATATATAAAAAACGTACTTACAGTCGGCGTACTTACAGTCGTACTTACCGGCGGGCTTGGAGCAACCACATGTGACGACCCCGGGCTGGACTCCGCTTCGTCCACGGTGAAAGCCGATCCGGCGATCCACAGCGCAAAGTTGATGTATTTCCTCAGCGACCAGCACGGATCAGCTCTAGGC